ACTTGTTTTTTCTCAGATTTTTTAAAAGACTAAATTGCTCAATATTTCAAATCTTAAAAGATCAAACTATACAATTTTGATATTTAATTATTTTTTATAATTTTTTGATTTTTAATAGCTGACAAAATTCAGCCTAAAGTTCTTATTTTTCACAAAATTTTGGACTTCTAAACCGGAAATGGCAAATAATAAGAAACTTTTGGGCAAAAAAAAAATACCAGATATTCAAAGTCTAAAAATTATTAAAAACAACTAAATTACAAAACTGTATAATTTCGAATCTTGAAAATCTAAAATATGAGAAATTTAGTCTTCTTAAAAAATTTGAGAAAAGAAAGTTAGGAATATAAAAATAGGAAAATTTTGGATGAGTTTTAAATAACATGAATTATAGGGGTTATGAGAGTGATTTTCTCTTATACTATTGTCCCCATGTAGCCCAAAAACCAGACTTGATTTAATTCTAAGAGGGCTTTACTAAAATTTCAAGTCCAAGAATTTGAAGCACGGCAACAAACAATAAAGCATGGGCTCTTACTCCTATCTCAACTATCAAGCCTGCCGTCCATTATCGACATGGACACACAAGGATACTTCACTTTAAATTAGTTCATAACTTTGAGCCTATGTATGTGGGTCCTGCAGGAATATGTTGTACATTTACTCCCTGGAGCATAAAACATACTTGGGAAAACCTTTAAATGTGAAAGTTTGATAACCACCTAATGATCTTAAATGATTATTTCCAAAATAAATATAAAATTTCTTGGCTCCTGTCAAAATTGGACGGTCTCCATTAAATCTTGAAGAGATATTTTTTCAAGCCCATAGAGAACGCATTTTGAAAATGTTTTTTTTATTTTGAAAGTGGTGACATCAACAAATTTTATAGCCTTAAAAAGAGTCCAAGCTTGATTTTTTCCGGAGGGCGTAAATAGACAGTTTGCTCACATTAGTACATAAAATATTTTGGTAATAACTTTTGTTGGTGGTTGGTGGGTTCGAAGTCGGGTTATTTTACAATATGTTTTATTTACAAAATATGAAATTGTAGTGTGGCTATGTGTTTACTACTTCAAAGTTTGAAACTTCACTAAAAAAAAAATTTATACGAGTACCAAAATTAAACAAAATAAACAGAGACATAAACTGTGTTCATTCTTTCTATTCTCTGAAGTCAGTATATTTTCTGAAGGACTTTTACTCGCATAGAATTGCTACCAGTGCAGTACAATCACTCATGTCTAGTTACAACACAAGTATTGAAAGTCATATGTGACAATACATCAGTTTCTCAATTAGAATCAATCCAGTATAAGTAGAAACAAGGGATGCACGGCTACAAGAAGGGAGAACCAATATAACTCCAAGCACAGTCAAATCGTCAAGCCGATTGGAGAATCGCTGCGTTTACTCAAACTTGGGGCATTGGCCTGGATACTTTTTTTTAATAGAAACGGATGAGAATAACCAAGATTTCTCTCAATTATTCACACAAATATATCAAATATGTTCTAGTATGTTTGTATCTTAGTGATCTACAATGACCCTAAAGAAAAGACATAATCCAAAAATTGCCAATTCCAATAAATATCAATTTCAACATACACTTTTCCACATGATTTGAAAATCTAAGAAACCAAACGGGCCCTTAATCATCATTGTATTCAACTTAATACGCTGTTCTTTGCATCTCTCGAACAATTAATTGTTCTTTGCTTCTCTTGAATCATTAACATTTGTTTGCTTTTTATTGATGACAAACTCAAAACTAGTAAGTGGCATTTGTTTCTTCAAATTCAAAATAAGCACAACGTTCTGGTCATCAGTTGTTGTTAGGGGTTAGGGGCCAAAAGGGCTTTAGCACAATGCTTATGTCTGCCGTTTGAAGCACAGGTAAACAAGGCAAGCCAAAGGACTTACAAAGCAAGATTATGTATTTTACAGAGAGAAACACCTCAAAACCACAATAAAAGTTTCAGTTCAACCACCTTCTCACACTAAAGAAACAACCCGCAAGAGCAGAAACAAATAACCTTTATTCGCTCAGATTAAAAGGCAACCCATACTTTCTTCCATGCATTATTTATAACTTGGCACTTGACTGGGACTGGTCTTTGCTTGAGCCGAATAACTCAGCCGAGTCTGAATCAGATTGGACTCATGCGAGTCCGGTCCTAGGCTCCTAGCTAAAACTCTCAAAGGGAAACGCGGTGGGAAAGTGAGTGCAGGGCAGGGAACTTGATTAAGAGAGAGAGAGAGAGAGAAAGAGGGGTAGGCATGTGACAAACAGAGATAGTGAATGAATCAGGTGGCTAGAGAGGGAAAGAAAAGCTAACATTTGTAAACTTGCATCCCCACGCAACAGGGTATATTCTCCCCGTTAACAAAGGCTTCTCACCCCCATTTTGCTTTGAAACCACAGTAAGAGGGTTGGTAGGGGTGATGATGAAGAAGAGGAAGGAGAGAGAGAGAGAGAGAGAGGAGGTGCTCCGAAACCCAGAGCAAGAAAAAGAAGATGAGGTAGAAGATGAGGCTGATGAAGACGAAGAATATACCAATTCAAAAAAAAAAAGAAGGGTTCAAGAAAAAAGATGAAGCAATAAGAGAGAAAAAAAGGGGCCAGATTTCTTGCCCCCTTCAACTGAGAAACCAGGGGGAGGGGGAGGGGAGAGAGAGGAAAAAGGGCAGGATTTCCAACCCCCTTGAGAGAGAGAGAGAGAGAGAGAGAGATGGAGGTGGGGTTTCTTCCCCTTTTTAGAGAGAGAGATGGCTTGGTTTCCACCCCCTTGGACAAGTGGACACCCAACTTACCTCGATAGGGAGAGGATAAGTTATTTGGTCAAGTTCAAGTGAACTCGGTCTGAATCCATAAAAACTGGTTCTCCAACAGTACAAGCACTCGACTAGTTACACCACAAGTCTAACCATGACAATACATACACATTAAAGGATGGTTCTACCAATCAGAAGCAATAAATCAATTTGGAAAAGTTTCAAAAACCTACAGAAAGGGAGGAAACCAATACATAAATTAGAGTAGCAAATTGCAAGGGAACAAGGCTAACAGAGAAATCAATCAGTTTTTTTTTTGTGAGAGTGTAGAATCTTCCAGTAATAAGTGGAAGCAATGAGAAAGTAATCCACAATCAGCCATTATAAGCTCATGTAGCCTCCTAAGTTTCTGGCTCATCAGATGCTCCACAAATACCATGAACATGCTATAATTTATCTATCATATTGCAATCATCAGATGAAGATATCTCATCCACTTATGATGACTCCAAACTTGAAATCCAAGGCCAGTGAGAAAATGAGCAATAAAACTGTGATGGAAAAAATTTCATGCCTCCTGGTAGGGCAAGCCTTTACACACTCCCATAGTAGACCCATAAGGGAAAATCAGACGGAGATATCAAGTGCTACAAAACATACATCTCTTGGAGGAGAAAACTGTACAACATCCGTATGTTGTCTTCTACTATCTCTTATCAACAGAGGAGGAGGTTGGGTTCATAATGCAAATGCATCCATAGGAACGAGTCCTTTAAATCCAGATTGTCAATTCAAACCCCAAAATTCATCTTCTTGTGACATTCACAAGCATGCAAGATACACTACATTGGGACAAACACATATATTGCATTCAACTGAAGAGCTTAAGAGAAGACGAATATACACAAACATCGCATGACCATTGCTGCAAACCAACGTCACTAGCTGAAGTCACGTTCCAAGCAATGAAATAGCATATTAGTTGAACAGCAAGCCCAAAATATGCTCAAAACACCAAAACAGAGAGAAGATAGGGTGTCCTAACTACTATTGTGACAACATGTTTTTTGTGACATAAGATATATCTACAATATATATATATATATATATATATATGTTCTAGGTTGTCTTGGGCAGGTTTTAGATAGTTTTTTAAAAATATTTTAATGTACTTCAATTGTTTTGCCCTTTTTTATTTTTGGGTGATTCAGTGAGGAAGACAGGCCCCTACCCGTTTTTCTTAACTTGTAGGAGTTAGTAAAACTACCAAGCAATGTATTGAGCAATTCTCTTTCTCTCTCTACTAAAATATATATAACTTGAATATATAATAATATATTATTATTATTGATGTATGTATTGAGCAATTCTTCTAAAATATATATAACTTGAATAATAATCCACATAAACGTGTGTGTGGATTATTATTCAATTAAAATAATAATCATAATCCACATACAAGGATGCATATAAACAAATACACACACACATAAGAAATATGACATACGTGAACATATACTTTATACATAAACATAATTAAAACATCTTGCATTGCACACATGCATACAAATTAATGGCACATGTATGAATTTAGATATGCTTGTCTATCTATATATGTGAGTGTTTGCGTGTAGAATATGAGCACTTAAGGAGGAAGAAGAAGAAGAGAGAAAAAGAACAATCACCATGGGGTTGACATGAGGGATCGGGTTCTGTGTTTCTATAAGTAAATCATAAGCGGCTTATGACTTTAAGTGACACATGTAATATTTATTGAGATATTTAATGTGTCTTTTGGTTTGATAATTGACATATTAAGTGCCCTTGTAAATGAAATTAAGGATTTGAGCAATTTGTTGCATTCAATGCATGCATGCATTACTGTTTTTCTTTGACATTAAGCCCAAATGTATGGTTTAGCATAAAACTCTCTACAGTACAAAGAAATTTGGTGGGATGGTTCTCAAAATCTCTCAAGCGTAGTCTGCAGCACCACAAAGTTGCCATTGGAACCATGGTGTCGCCAGAAAAGCACCACAGGGGATTAAAACTTCCAAATTGTCATGGAATCAATAGTGGTAATTTTCATAAAAAAGGGAAAGGAGTCAGTAGTAAAGAATTGATTTGTCTAATACTTTTGATATAAATGGCCTCTCTATTATGTGGATTACCTGATAAAAACAAAAGGGAAAAAAGAAAAATATTTGAGAACACAACCATCAAAATGAAGGAAACAAGCACTATAGTTGATTATTAATGTTCAATTTGAATTGGAAACCAATAGAAACATATGATGTTGTTCTATATGTCTCGTACAAATGTCATTTTGTTTTCCTATAGTACCCTTAGACTTTAGTTGTACACAAAACACATGAAACAAAATAGATGAGAAAAGAAGAACACTAAAATCAAACAAGAATGCATTTACCAGGAAAAAAGAAAATTTCAAACGAGAAGAGGGGCTTCAGTGGTTGGAATTGAAAAATGCAACTGCATAGACAAAGAAAAACACATATACAAGATAAGGAGTTAAGAACAGCTCATATTTAAGATTTAAGACATTAAGATTGCTACTTCTAAATTATCAAATACATAAAGAAATTAAAAATCAAATCAGAGGGCAAGGAACATCCGATTTAATTCAAATTTCCTGCTTTGTCCGCTTTGCATAATTCAAAGTATCCCCAAATTGGAAACCTCACTAGAAAAACTCCAACATTTGAGGTGTATACTCTGGGTAATACAAACTAGAAACCAAGGACAGAAAAGCTTACCTATGATTAATCTCATTTCCAAAAGAGAAACATCTGAATCACCATGCTTCTTCTTAATATGTTCAAACTCTTGCAAAGCAAGCCATACTGGTCCAACCAAAATCCCATCAATTATTTGCAGCCATTTCTTTTTTCTCTCTCAACTGAGAGAAGACATTAGTGGCGAGTACATTATCGTCGAAAAATCGAGCATAAGGGTGGCCCTTTGGAACCAGCCTCCTGTACTTCTCAAACTGCTTCTCGGCCTCATCCTTCTTTTCAAGCAAAGTATATATAATACCTTGGCACAGATAAGGCCTAAAATCTCTAGGCTCTTCTTTCGCAAGCTCCTGATAAATCTTTAATGCGTCTTCATAATTGCTTTCCAGAACATGAATCTGAGCCATCAACAGCTTAAAATCCCTCATATCCTCTTTCCTCTTCTCCTTCTTGCAAATCTCCATTGCCTTCTTAATCCTCTGACATATCTCTTCCATGCCACCAGATTGTGAAGCCACTATAACCAGGCCATGATAGGCCTCAACATAAAGTGGGTCTTTGCTTAAAATATCTTCAAATCCTCGCCACGCAGCCTCAGATTCACCTGCATAACTTTTCAAGTGAGCCTTGAGCATGGGCCACTCTATCTCTTCGGGCTCGAGAGCCATTAACTTCTCGATGACCAATATGGCTTCAGGGATCTTCGAGGCCATGATCTTGATCTCCATTAGAGCTCTCAGAGACGCTATATCATCTGGGTGGGTGTCCAGATACTCTTCCAAAACCTTCTCTTTCTCTTCTTCCGTGAGTTTTTGAGAATCTTCTTCCGTGAGTTTATCGCTCTCTCTTGAAGAAACCTCTTCAGTTTCAATAGTGGGTGGAGTTGCAGAGATGGGGTTCGCAATGGCTGGATTTTGGAAACGAAAGAAGAAGATAGGGGTCGATGCAATGAGTATACAGGCAGTTTTAATGGCGGTTTTCAAAATTTGTGGTGGGTTCTTTTCCTGGGTTCTGGAAATTTTTTGTGGGGTTTCTTCCCAAAATGAAGAAGAGCGAATTTTGATTGCTTCTGAAGTATTTTGTGGAGTTTCTCCAGGGAACGGTGAGTATTGACTTGCAGAGAGAGAAATATGTCTTAGAGGGATGATTGTGGATTTTCTGGATGAGTTTCGGAGTGACAGAAAGGGGGGTTTGGAGGAGAGAGAAAGCATAGGGAAATGATGAGAGAGAGAATGATGGGTAAGAGGATGGACGCATGGGACGCTCCTTGATGATACGGCCAAGCTCCCATGGAGAGCTTCCATTGTTTTTTTAGGTTGAACCACGGCAAACCAAGAGGAAAGAACAGAGAACAGGAAGGAGCCCAAACCCCTAAACCCTACCTTGATAAGGGTTTTTTTTTCATTTTTTTAACCCGGTTTTATGCGGCCAGGCCCGCATATGCAGGAATGCGAGGCTCTTAATAAATCTCATTTTAAGACTTAATTTTTGAAGACATGTAATATCTAACATAGAGATTATGAATTTTAAAAATAAACAATTTTCCATTAAAGAGAAGACATATAATAAATAAATACAATTTGAAAAAGTTCGCACGTGGCCTCCCACTCTGTTGGCATTTGGCAAGCCGACGCCTCTCAAAACCTTACTTAATAATTTGGAAATGGGAAGGGCAATTTATAGCGATATGTTAAGGGTACGTTTGATAGGCCTATTGTTCTAAAAAAAAAGAAAAATTATCATATAAAGACCTTCTTTTTAATTTTTTTTTCTTTTTTTCAAGTAGTATAAGAAAATTTCTAAAGATTTTACCGTACCCCTTCATCTCTTATCTCTCTCTTTTATTTACTTTTGACCATAAAAATTGGCCCCAACATATCTTTTTATACTATTTCAACACAAAAACGTTTTTAACCTTCTTTTTCCCATTCCATCCATTAAAAAAGTTTTTGGGTTGAAATGATATAAAAAGAATTTTTGAAGTTAATTTTTACAATCAAAAGTCAATAAAAAAGAGAGATAAAAGATGAGGGGGTATGGTGAAATATTTAGGGGTTTTTTAATGCCGTTTTAAACAAAAACGAAATGAGGATCTACCATAAAATAATATGAGAAATTAGGGTTCTATATGAAATTTTTCCTAAAAAAAATAGACTGGTAGGGTGGATTGTCCACCCCGAATCCCGGTCTGGATCAACGCTTCAAATTGTTCTTGAATCGTCTATTACAGGTGATCTAAAAAACTTTAAAATAAATAAAATAAAATAAAAATTAAAATAGAAATTTATTGGGTGGGCATTTAGGGTGGATCATAAAAAGCGTTCGATACGCTCAAAGGATAAAAAATAAAAAATATAAAAAAGGGGGCTTTAAGGTGGAACTTGGTAAGGACCCATACTATTTTGAAACCGGTTCGGTTCTTACCAATTTCACATCCGAATTGGCGACCCAGGTTGGAAATTGTCAGGTTTTAAAACATTGGATAGACCCTAATATGCTTTCTAGATTGTATAAACTCGTATATGATTTAAATTATATAATTTTGTATGACCTGTTTGATAGGATCAAATTATATATTTTATATTTTGGAGATTTTGGAGATCTATACTTTAGAGACTCGACAAGAACATATCTCTCAAGCACTCCACAAGGATCATGACAGCTTAAGTGGATCAAGTTTTGTTTAAATCCACTCATTAGAAAAATGTTTGGGTTTACATCTTCTCCATCACCAAATAGTGTCTGTGGGCTAAGAGCAACACATGTATCCATGAAGAGATGAAGACGTCCAAAAAGCACCTTCTTCCACAGATCATCCACCTAGTCCACAAGCTTACAAAAGGGAAGGGTTGGGCTTTCCATCCCCCAAAAAATAACATCACAAAAAATCCAAAAATGAAGTGCCGCATGGAGCCCCCTGCCTGTATCTACATTGCATCGTCACTCCCCACCCTACGTCACTTCAAGCTCAACATAAATAGCTCTTCATTAGTTATCTTGGCAAAATTGAATATAGGAGGATTATTAGAAATGACGCGGGAGGTTTAGTTGTGCCTTTTGCAATCCCCTTGGTACCAACTCTAAAACTATGGCTGAGTTTCATACATTGGAACTCGGCAAATCTCTTGAAAAAGAACTTGACTGCAGACCACCAATCATTGAGAATATTTCCAAAATGTTTTTTGAATCTATAACCAGCCCGGTAGGCCCCCATGGAAGCTATGCATAGTCTTGTTTAATTGCAAAGCCAAACCCTCTTCCTTTGCATATCATCAATGTTAGATCTTTCATAGTTTTAGAGAGGCAAATATGGTTGCTAACTGTCTGGCTACCTATTTGACATTTTATCCATTTATTCACCAAAAAGAAAATCTTATCTTTTGATATCTAAATAAACCATAAATATATAAACCCCCAAAAAATCAACTCTTAATTGGATTTTTGAAATTCTATTTCTCTGTCAAAATTTTAAATCTCTCCCCTCTCTCGTTGCTGACGGAGGTCCCTCTCTGTCAACCGAGACCCAAGCCTATTTGTCTCTCTCTATGGAGGCCCCCTCTTTCTCTCAAAGGAAACCCTCTCTCTTTAGACCCAAAATGTTGTTGCTCTCTCTAACACCACCTGCATTACTATCTTCAAGACTCAATGACCTGAACAAATTCAAGACCTCCACAATTTTACCATGGTCTAGACCTCACATCTCTTAGGCTTCAAAGATTTGGATAATGGCCGACTGTTAATTGCACATTCATGCAACCAATACTGCCACTTCTCCTTGAGATGGTAGACCTTGTGCTCCTTTAAAGAGATGTTGTATCGCCCCTTGTTTGGACAATCAAATGGAAGGAATTTGTTACAAAGAGGGTAACCACATAGATTAGTGATGGATCTCTCTATTACGACATCCTCTGAAGTATTCTAAGGCAATAGGATTAGGAAATAGGGCACAATAAGATAAAACTGCACTATTTTATTTCAATAGAAGATAGGATATAACTGTTTTATAAAAGGGGAAGAGGCTAGGAGGGAATCACTCAACCTCACATGAGAATCAATCACCACTTGGGGAGGAATCTTTTACTCTCAAATGAAGCTCTAGACAATTCTTAATTCCAAATTGCTGGAAATAGACCCCTTTGGGGAGTATTTATACGTCAAGGAAAATATTTCTATAAAGTTATCAAGGAATTTTTAGAGGAGATTCCTAGATACTTCTTTAAACAATGATTTATTGCCAAAAATATCTAGAGAAGTTTCTAGGAAACTTCTTAGGATAATGATTTGATTTGGCTCTAAGTTTCCTTGAAACCTTCAAGAACCTTCTTCTGGATTTAAGGATGCATCAGTCACCCCCCTTCAAAAGAACTCATCCTCAAGTTATCGGCCACAGACTTCCATACTTCCAAATCGGTCTCCAATGAGGGTTATCTAGCATCAAATTGACTTAATGCTAGGTGGTTAGGCCTAGTTCTCGTCGTTTTCGAGGACCTGGTTGGGACTCGGACTAAGAGCCCCCCTCAAAAAATCGTGCACCCGCACGCATGTCACGTGCGTGGCACGTGCACGATGTGTGGATAGGTACCAACAGTTTGAGAGGGATTTCGTTGGCAAAGGAGTCAGACAAACTACCTCACTCGGTTGGGTTCATGGACACACTCAGGCACGGCCCTCTTAGATCACTATAATAAGCCCCCTGGTCTTCTCGGCACGGTTTGGACTTCGCTCCCTTTCCGCTTGCACATCGCACTAATTGGTTCACGCACCTTCTTTGTATGCACCTGCGATTGAGAGTCCCCTTGTTCGTCCCATGTATGGCGGTTTTAAGGCGAAAGGTTTGGGGATGGTTTGGAGGGAGTGGGGATGGTTTGGAGGGAGTTGAGTTCAGGTCTAACTGGATGATAGAGAAAGAGGAGGATAGATAAGTAATAGACGTGAGAGAAGGAAAAAGAGGAGGACCACCCTAGAATCTGGCAGCCTTCCAGTGTGACCTCCCCTAAGAGATATTACTATAGCCTTCTAGAAAAGGCATCAAGCGCGAGGCTTGAGTAGCCCGGAGGATTCGAGAGGTCATGAGACTACGAGTCAAGCCCAACAAGGAATATGCCCCGAAGAGCCTCCTATGGAATGGTATCGATGAAGGAAAAGAGAGAGTGAGAAAAAGAACAGGAGTGATGAATAGATCACTTACCAATCCGACAGCCTTCCGGCGTTACCTCCCTAGGAGGAATTATCAAGGTCAACCGAAAAGGTCCTAGCCAATGGGCGTAGACACCTCGGAGGATTCAAGAGGGCGTGAGACTGCGAGACAAGCCCGACAACGAATATGTCTCCGAAGAGCCTCCTAGGAAGTGATCAAGAGAGAGAAGGGAGAGAGTGAGAAGAGAGAAGAAGAATGAGAGAGAAAGAGAGAGGTGGGAGAGTAAGAGAGAGAAAGAGGTGGGGGGCCTAGTCACCTACCTCATGGGGAGAGAGAGAGCTAGGCGGCTCAACCACCTGGTTCTAAGGGAGAGAGAGATCTAGATGGCTTAAGTTGCTTGGCTTTGAGAGAGGGAGACAGAGAGAGAGAGAGTGAGTGAGTGAGAGGGAGGTAGGTGGCTCAGCCCCTGCCTCTGAGGAGAGAGATAAAGAGGGGGAGAGAGAAGAAGAACGAGAAGAAAAAGAAGAAGAAAAAAGAGAGACGGAGAGGAAGAAGAAAGAGAGAAGAAGAGAGAGAATGTGACCGCGTACCTAGCAACTAGACCGGTGGCTAGGTGTACTCCCAAATGGTCCTTTGAGTGTTCCTTAAAAGAGGTTAGGGTGCTTAGGTTAGAGGGGTAAGGTGTAGGTTTGGTGGGTTAATGGTAAATAGGCTAGGGTGTAGAGTATATGGTTAGGTATGGTGTATGGTGTAAAAGGTAGACTGAAAGATGTATAGGGTAGGGAGTATGAATAGGTGTGGTGTATGAGGTGCTTAGATTTGAGAATTTACCGCAAAATTATGAAAATTACTATTATTTTTAATAAATCATGAAGAAATACTAGACTCAAGGAACCTACCTGGATGTCATCCTCCATGACGATTTTTTTATTCAAAAGAAATCGTCTTTGTATACCTAAGTGCTCCCTTAAACTTAAAATCATTTATGAGCCGCACGGAGGTGGTCTATGAGGACAGTTTGGTCAAAACAAGACCCAAGCTCTTGTAGACGAAATGTACTTTTGTCCTAAATTAAAAAGGGATGTTGGAAGATTTGTTGAAAGATGTGGGATCTATCAGAGTGCTAAAGGATGCAAACAAAATACTAGCTTATACACCCCACTACCCATCCCTACAAAACCTTGGGGGAATGTTAACCTAGAATTTGTGGTGGGACTTCGAAAACAAGGCAAGGTCAGGATTCTATATTAGT